TGTGATGCTGTGATCTCTGCTGGGCAGAGGAAAGCACTGCAAGGATCCCAGGAGATCCCAGCTGGGCCGCGCTCACCGCTGTCTGCTCTCTCCCTTAGGCGATGCTCTGCTGCGGAGAGGGGAAGGAGGACTCCGGTCCGGCTGCTTTCTCTCCTTTCTGGTGAGTGCTCCCCACCCAAAGCCATCCCAGCAGGGCTGGGCAGCGGGACTGTCCCACACGGCGTGGGTCTGCAGGAGGAAAACGGGGCTGCGGAGCAAACTAACGGTCTGTCCCACCTGATCTCCCCACAGCTGGAGTCTTCCTTTGCGTACTGGCATGGGGGAGCGACGTCCTGCAGGTCAGTGCTGCAGGCTGCGCGGCAGAGGCCAAAGCAACCCCCATTGAGCAGCGGGGGGAGTTTGGCCACGGGCTGAGATGGAGGGTGGGCTGGGGGTCGCCTGGGCAGCAGGGTGGGCTTCGGTGCGGAAGCATCTTCCCAGCGCCCGGCTCGGGCTGAAGGCGGCAGCGCGGGGGCAGAAGGGGCCTTTGGCCCATGCCTGGCACCGGGGAGCCTGAAGGGGCCGGGAAAGCCGAGGGAGAAGCAGAGATGCTGTGCGGCACGGGGAGGGCTTCAGAGCCCGGCTTTGGGCAGCGCCGCTCTGCAAACGGCTGGGCAGCAGCAGGAAATTCTGCCGGCGGTTCCCTGGGAAGCCCCTGCGGAAGCCCTGGCCGCGCTGCTTGTGCCTCCTGCCATCGAACACCTTTCTCTTCCAGGTGCTGTCAGCAGGACCTGCGCCCGAGTTCCCAGCTCTGGGGTAAGAATGCTTCCTCGCCCTGCACAAGGCCCTTCCCTTCCCTTCCCTTCCCTTCCCTTCCCTTCCCTTCCCTTCCCTTCCCTTCCCTTCCCTTCCCTTCCCTTCCCTTCCTTTCCCTTTCAGAAGGCCGCCCTTGGCAAAGGCAAAGCAGAGGAAGGAAAGGGACTGGGGGATAAAGAGGGGCACAACACCCCCCCCCAGGATCCTTCACCTCTGCAGCTCTGAGCTCTGTGAGCAGTGCTCAAGGCTCGCTTTGCCTTTGCCTTCAGGAACTCTCGGGTTCAGATGGAGAAGAGGCAGGAGCTGGAGGTGAGATCCACTCAGCTGTCGGCCCAGAAGGGCCTCATTCTCCAAGCCCTGTTTGACGTCCTGCACGAGAACGGGATCCACGGATTCACCAGCGAGGTGACGGCGCTGCTCCCTCCTGTTTCAGCCCTTTCCAGAGGCAGCTCTGCGCCCCACACCTGGCTCTCAGCTCAGCCCCTCTCGTGCCATGGAGCCGCTCTGCTCCCCTCGCTGCTGGCTGGGATCAGGGTGTGCTGTGCAGCGCTGTGCATTCCCTCCCCTGGCTCCTGGGTAGCATCCCTAGGGTCAGG